ACCCTTCTTTTAGTAAAGATATCACCTCTCAATGGTCAGACAGCTTACCTGATTACTGTACAGGTGTAGACTGATACAACCCTTCTTTTAGTAAAGATATCACCTCTCAATGGTCAGACAGCTTACCTGATTACTGTACAGGTGTAGACTGATACAACCCTTCTTTTAGTAAAGATATCACCTCTCAATGGTCAGACAGCTTACCTGATTACTGTACAGGTGTAGACTGATACAACCCTTCTATTAGGTTAAATTATCAGTGTTTTCCTCCCTGAATACAATATAATATGATTCATGATATTAGACAAACACGTAAGTTGAAGAAGTCTTGATAGAAATGAATAAAAACCCTATAACCCGAGCACTTTAGTAAGATTTCAGAAGAAAGGTCCACCTATCGAGAGCACTTGGATTATAAGGTTTTTATTCATATAACAGAAGATAATTCAGCTTAACTGGTGAATATAACTCTAGCCTGTTACTACTACAGCCCTTCTGTCATATCAGCTATTGAAGAGATGCTGACAAATGAAGCATAGAGTTATAAGCTTCTATTTCCAGTAGTATTAATCAACCTGCGTACATGCTACGTATGTTTGAAATGTGACTTTTTACTCCATCCTGGTGGCTTATAAGGACAAAGTCTAATACATTGTTTTAAAAGTTATAATATGAATTTATTTCTGTGCTAGAATATAGTTCTACAGCTGTAGGTAAAATACTGTTTGAGAATAATTTTCTAAAGATGTAACATGTTTTTTATCTCTAGTGTCAGAACATTTGAATTTATTCAGTATAAATAGCCACTAACCTTTATAAAAAAAAATGCATTATTGCTAGCTTGTTGTAAATTTGATATTTAAATGGTTGTTAAAAAATAACTTTTGAATATCATATTGTGTAGATTTTGTAAATGACCAACAGGAGGATTTTTTGTACATCTTTAATTTTTAATTAAAAAATAACTAAAGACAGTTATATTATTTTAAAAATAAATCTTCAAGAAGTCCAAAATTTTCAACTTTGGATATTATAGGTGTATTTCAAATTTTATAAAACAGAAGTTGTAAATAATTTTTATCAAACTTATTATAATAAAATACATTCTTTAACCAGAAACTTTCTTTTGTCTTCCATAATAATCTTAATGATATACTTCTGTATGATTTTTATGTGTTACAAAGTGATTTATACAAACTGTGTGTTTATGTCAGAAGGTTTTGTTCACAGATTATCTGAATATGTTTTGTTCCTTTATAACTTAAATAGTGGTGTAGGGAATGGTACAATATTTGAACAAGTTCCATAAAAGCCATTTACTGATGTAGAAACCATATGATGATATAGCCACTGACAAATTTGTCAATAAATAAGTAATAACCACAATATTAAACAAGTTTCGGCCAAACTGAAGACAAAAAGATGATAATATTTATATTCCAGTACAAACGAAAATAAAAGTTTTCCTTACACTTTCCAGATCATTTTCATAACATTTCTGATTTTCTAGACGTAGCATTTGTTAAAGAAAGTAATCATTGCACACTGTCTTTCGCTACATGACAAAA